AGGGGGGTTTTGCCCCCGCCGCGCCCCCAGCACTGGGGTTGAAGCCGAGCAGCTCCACCTGGCTGCACCCACGTCCTCTCCCACCCGGCTCCGCTGCTCCGGCAGCACCAGCTCCCCAAAGAGAGATGCACTCGGTCCCGCTGTCACAGCCTCACATCACGACGGGCACGAATCAAGTCCCCGCAGGGACCCCGCGTTAGCTGGGCCCCCATGGTGACAGAACCTGGAACGAACGCTGGGTTGCACCCAGGTTACGTTGCCTTTGAAAGCAGCTGTCTAGCACGTGCCTCAACCAGTTTCCTGTCTGTGTCGTTCTGTATCATGTAATGCTCCCACTGAGCTGGCATTAGGTGCAAGGACATTATTCAACACTATGGACAAGATCTTGCAGGCTTTAAAGGATCCTGCTCTTAGCAGATGGTTAGTTTTGAACCCACTGTACTCCTATTGCAGATATCCGAGTTTGTCCCCAGGGCCCGAGTGTCCTCACGCTGGCAGCTTACAGGAATACTTCTGAAGATACTGATTTTTTTACGTTATGTTTCGCAGCCAGCTGAAGACAAGGTTTCTCAGATAAAATCCCAAGGAGGTGGGAATTAGCCCTTGTCCTGTTTGTTCAAATAAGCCCATTTGAAGGACTGGGATCCTGCTTTCATTTGAAATTCTCCTCCCACACCAGATTGACACTTGCGTGACCATAAGCTAAAAGGAACTGCAAGTCTAGTTTTATAATCTCATGGCAGTATGTGCCTAAGACTTTCTTTTCTACAGGTAAAAAGGAAAAATAATGAACCTGAGCCAAGTCTACAATACCAAGGAAGTTCCCAGTACTGGTTTTGGTACCTACTGCCAAGCATAATGTACGTTATTCCAGAAGATCCAAACCTGCCGTCCAGAGGGACTTGACAGGCTTGAGAGGTGGGCCCGTGCAAACCACGTGGAGCTCAACAAGAAACCTCTTCATTTTCTCAAGTACTCAAGACGTCTAAACAAGATAGATAACGTGATAAGGTGTCACTTCAGGCAGCCAGTCATCCTTTAAGAAGCCCCAAAACGTACTTGTTGGGAACCACTGACCAGTCCTCGTAAAGATTTCTGCGCTGACACCCAAGTGTGTGCAAGGAGTTGGGAGGATGCTGCTGATTTTAGCAGGTGCCCCCGATCCTCCTGCACGTCCTTCTGCCTGCACACGCTGCCGCCACACGTCTCGGA